TCCCTGCAATTTTAGTGAAACTTTGAAAAGCGTTATTAACAAACTCACCACCGCCGTCAGTTCTAATCGTTTTGAGTTTAAGCGAGGTTTGACGTTCGATAAACTTAGTAAAAGAGATAAATGTGTTAGTGACATCAGATTTATGCAGGATAGGAAATAGCCAAGTAAAACGGGAAAAATCATCAACAAATATAACGTAATAGCTAAAGCCTTGATGAGACTGAATCGGAGAGGGGCCCCAAACATCGGAGTGAACGAGTTCTAGAGGTGAACTCGTTCGGCTTACCGAGCTATCAAATACAAGTTTTTGACCTTTACAATACATACATGAATTACAAACAGATTTAAGCGGGAAAATGCGTAAATAGGGATTGTAATTGGAAATGTGCTGCAGGACTTGGTGATGAGGATGTCCAAGCCTAAGATGCCAATTCGCAGTAGATGCATTGGATGCACTCAAAGCTGTAGACGGAGAGCTTGACCCAGCGGAGGAGATCTTGTAGATCCCTTTGCTGCACGGTCCTTCAAGTATAACTTGGTTTGTCGTCCGGTCCTTAAATACAAAGCCATTTTCATCAAACGTAATTGAAATATGATTATCCCGTACTAAATTCGAAATAGAAAGAAGATTAAATACGAGAGAAGGGATATGTAAAAGTTTGGAGAGAAAAAGCTTACGATCCGTGGTAGGAAGAATGCCCGAGCCTGAATGGGCAATTGGGACAGATCTTCCATCCCCAAGCGTTACCGTGTCGTGGCTGATGTAGGGATTGTAAACTTCAAGATTTCCGGTGGTATTCGTCATGTGAGAGGAAGCGCCGGAATCAAGATACCAGTCTGTCGTGGACAAGCCATCGTTCTGGGCTGCGAGCGCATTGTTTGTCTTTACCGAAGGAATCGTCAGAGTGTAATTGGGATTGAGACGGTGCCAGCATGCCTCTGCACTATGACCTTTCTTCTTGCATATTTGACAGGTAACAGCCGTGGTAGAGGAATGGCCTTGCGTTGATGCATTGGTATTCGACTGTCTGCCGCGGCCGCGTCTACCACGTCCACGGATAGAGTATAAGGCGGACTGAGTTTTCGGTATCTTTGGAAATTTTTGAGCCGCCGTTTTGAGATGGATCTCCTCACTGATGAGGAGGGCGTAGAGTGTATCAAGAGACAGCGAGCCTTGCATAGTGCGAATGGTGGTTGTGAAGGACTGGTATGCCGGAGGAAGTCCATTCAGAATGTATATTATAACATCTTCAGGATCTACCAACGAGCCGGCGGAGGCAATTTGATCCACAATTTTCTTGATCTCAGTAAGATACTGAGTCATGGACATCGTTTGCATTGAGATATTGTGAAGCTCGTGTTTCAGTTGAATCACCTTGGAGCGGTTAGAAGCTTGAAACCGAGTGTGAAGGGTTGTCCAAATTTCATGGGTTGATTCAAGATGAATCACATATGGAAGAATCGCCGGAGATATTGTGGAGCACATCGCCGTCGCCAAATTTTGATCGGTGACCAGCCAAGATTGGGGATCGTGGTTCGGATCAAGATTTTTAGACAGGGTTTTGGAATCAAGAAACCCCGCGAATCCATTTGCCCGAAAAAGCTTGGCGATTTGAGTGCTCCAGATCGGAAAGTTGTCCGGAGTGAGTGCGTGCGGCATCAAGAACTTGAGATTGGAGATAACAAATTTTAACGAGGAGGAGATGGCCGGAGAGGGAGCGGCGGCGACGGTTGTTGTACCGATAGATGAGGAAGCCTGGGCTTGATTCGCCATGGCGGGAGACCTCAAGAACGCCCAACTCGTGATACCATGTAGAAAAGCATAATCTGAGAAAGTAAAGACTAAAGAACAAAGTAATCTGAATATTATTGATTTCTTGATCTTTTTACAATATGGCTGTACATCTATATATAGAACTAAGTATGAATACAAGTACACGTGTAAGAATCTGATTGGACCTAATGGCTAACGGTAAGTAATATAGATATCTGCTCTTAACAATTTGTGTGTCTAATATGATATAGTGGATTAGTATAACAAGGTCAATCCCGTTGATTTTTCTCCATTTTGGAGTTTTCCATGTATTTCAAAACTTTTATTTGTGTGTTCATTCTTTAATTAATTGTACAAAACTAAGTTAATAAACATTCGTTTTAACGGCACAATATTTTAGCAAGTGACACTCAATTTACACAATTTTTAGTAATCAGGGTTATTTTATAGATATCTAGAGCTTCTTCCTCTATAATAATTATTTAAGATTTATATATCTACTTTTATGTCATCTTTTTTTAACTCACTATTCTCAATATAGTATGTGTGATGCCCTAAGAATTTTGGATTCAGCCCAACTCAGTGCTATACTCAGCTTCTGTTTTCGATCAAAGGCTTCATTTGAAATAATTTTTTTACTAATTCTTAAAGCGGATTTTTTTACTCTTTTTAATACTTTTTTTAATTTTTGTATTAAAAAGCTACTTTAAGAATCAATTAAAAAATCATCTCAAACGAAGCCAAAGGCTCCGACAGCTTCAGCTGTTTCCTTCGTCTCTTTATGTTTGCATGAAGCTTCTGAAAGTATCTTGGACTTTGTTTGGGACAATTTTCATAATGCTCTTTAAAATAACTTTTTAGTTAAAAAATTTTTAGAGTTACAAAATTTTGTACTAAAAAATTATTTTCGAAAACAATGTAAAAGCTGTCCCAAACGAAGCTTTTATATAGTTTTAAGCGTTATTGTGAAGGCCGTTTGTAAGCCTCCTGCTGGGATAAATGGAGTCATCTATACATCATTATCAAAAACAGAAATTGGTTACTCATCTTCTTTCCTGGAAATCTGCGTCAGCTTTCCAACTTTCCAACTGTGAAAATTTCAATATTGACAATATCTTTCAATATTCTGTAAGTTCCGTCATAAACTGGCATTTATTTAAGTTAAATATCCTGACGTCTTCAATCAAAAACAATGGCCTTGTTTCTTTTGTTAACAACAGCTAAACGATCTTCGGTAAGTTCTGTCATCTCTTAGAGCAGCTGCAAAAGGAAATTCTTTTTTTTTTTAGAGGGGTTTAGGTCTTGAGATTACTTTTTTATTACTTCTTAAAACAATTTTAGTACAAAAATATGTATTAAAACTCTATTTTAAGAAGCAATAAAAGAGTCGTGTCAAATGAAGCCTTAGCTGGTAATCAAAACTACTAACCACAGACCAAGACACGTTGCATAAAAGAAAATTTTCTCACATTTGTCTAAAAATAAACCTCGTCTTCTTCCTTTCAAAGCCATTCCTACCAAAATCTTATCTTATATGAAAAAAGAATTATGTCAGAATATTATGAAAGAAAGGTAGAGGTAGACCTTACGATGATCCGGTTAGGAAAGTTGAGGTATTAGATTTTACTTATGTTAAGAAAGGTTGATGTAGAACTAAAAAGACTTGGTCAAAAAATATTAGAAATGATATTTCTTTATTATATTTAAATGAGAATTTGACTTTTAACCGGACACAATGGCGAAAAAGGATTCATATAGCTGACCCCACTTAGTGGGACAAAGGTTTGATGTTGTTGTTGTTGTTGTTGTATCCGAAAGAAATCAAGATGGACAGGCCTATATTTGTATTGCCAATAATGCTGCATATAAAGAGTCTATATTGCACTAATTAAAAAGAAAATTTAATGATTTTTTTAAGTATATATTCTTTACAAAATTTTTATTCCCAAAAATTTATCCTCTATGTAAATGTATGAAGTTAATATTACGGGAAGTGCAGAAGGAAATGAAACAAAGAATGAGTAGACATCCATCATGACTTCGACATGCAAAACATAAATACGATTGCTACCAATGCAATGTTGTTTTCATTGCGTTCCTTACATTCTAAAAGAATTAAGAGCAAGTAGGCCAAAGCTAAATATTTTCGCCCACACTTAATGGATCTGATTTACATGAGAGATTGAAAATGAGAAAACATTCAGAAGTTATAATAACTAGAGATTATCATCTTAAAAAAAAAATCATTTTCATTTGCATGATTTGGAAGAAAATTAAATAGTATAAGTCCACAGAGGACTCGAAACCTGAGTTAGGCACTAAAAGTAGGGAAACATTAAAAATTTTTCATGAGAATGTATACTTCTATAATTGAGTTGCTTGAAATTATTAAATATGAATGAGTACATAATCAATAATATGTTGAAGCAGGTATTCTGATTGATACAATAAAATTCTTTGATTTTATTTTCACAATATATTTAATGATTAATTAATATATTAAAAATTATAAATGAATTATCACAATCATTAAAAAAAAATTAAGACTAATCGGCACAGGTAGCTATATCAGGATTTAATTGAAGTCGGAACCACTCCGCACATAAGGGCATCTCCAACCGAACGACAAACACTAGTTTGCCATTCCTGTTTTGCTCCAACCGATCGTCATTTTTGACGCCATTTGATCGCGGATGAACAGTGCGACGCCAATATTGGCGTTGTACTGTTCATCTGCGCCATTTTTTTTATCTCTACCGAACAGGTTCGGAAGAAAAGCGCGAAAGCAAAGCGACGGTTTTAGCGGCAAAATGACGTTGGATTGGAGATGAAACATGATATTTTTTGATTTCACTGTATTTTGGAGTGAAAAATAAAATTCTGGGTTGGAGATGGTCTAATAGTTTCTAAATAACTCCCGGATCAGCATAAGTAAAAGTCAAACCAAACAAGGACTAAAGAAAATTCCCTTTTTCTACCGAGCAAAGTCGCAAACCGAGCCGAGTGGAACCTCCCCTATCTCGCACGGCTGGTCCCCACCCAGCCTGCTCTTAAACCGCCACGTTTCAGTCCTCCGTATCATGCATCCAGTTCGACCACCCACATTCGTCGTGAAAATATCATCACAATGAAGGGCAAGATCAACACCAACATCCCTAGTGGCGACTTATCAGCCGTCAGATGACTGAGTCGACGAGCCGACTCATTTCTTTAGGCGCAAGAAAGAAAGAGAAGAACCGACCGGCTCGCGATATATGTACCCGGTTGCCATCGGCCGGCGACTCTCCGCCCTTCTCTTTCTTGTCGAGGCTCGGGGTTTGGTACTTCACCGTCGACAGCGTTCGCAGAGCGAGCGAGAGAGAGAGATTCGATGAATTGTCATGTTTCTATCAGCTCGAGGTATAAATCATCTCCTCCTTTGACTGCCTTGATTGACCAAAGGTTTAGGGTTATGTCTACGATTTCTATTACATTTTTGTTGGTATTCATGCCTTCGTCTACGGTGATTGCGCGACGTTACGGACGAGTTTGCAAATCAGATCTGGAAGTGCTGTTCATTTGTTCCTTATTCCTGCAGAGATAATCGCTTGGAGCTGGTTCTATTGATTATGGATATTTTTTGTTTCGTTTACTGTCGCGCGGTTAGGGTCAGTACCAGCGTTTTTTACTTGGAGAGTATTGATTCGCTTGGTGATGATCATCTTGCTGTTTGTAGGCGCGGGCTATATTGGCGTTTTGAAGCGGGAAATTAATTCAGACTTAGGGATGCTTGAATCCTCCCTTTTTTTAGATCAAGCGATATGTTTAACTTTATTTTCTATTTTTAGGATTTCTTTGGAAAAGCTTTTGAACTGCTTTAGTTTTGAAAAAATCTGTCATATTATAATATAATCAGTGGCGAAGTGTTTGATATGAAGAAGTACATTATATTTGCACATACACATGTTCTTTCACGACAATGGCCAGCATGCAGCATACAACTTGTCCCTCAAGTGTTATGTGGCAGTGACTTTTTTTCTTACGAGACAACACAATGGATCCACAAAAAATCAAATGTAGCAAGAAACTGTTGCTCGTCTGAAATTTTGTTGGGTTGGTTGATGTTGGGAATTGGTTCAATTTTAGGTTAGGTTGTTTCTTAGGTTTATGTTATCATTGTAGTCTCTTTCCTCTATAAGTAGGCATAAGGATTGTAATATTGGTTTACCCCATGCCAAGCAATAAGATTAGTTTTGATTTGTTCTTTCCTCTCTCTCTCTCTATCTCTCTCTCTCTCTCTCTCTCTCTCTCTCTCTCTCTCTCTCTCTCTCTCTCTCATCCAAGAAGTTTAAGAGGAACTTCATCTTCCTCCCAAGATCTAACAAGTGCTATCAGAGCCTTGTTGAGGCAATCTCGAGATGGAGGAAGTTTCTTATCCAAGAAAGGAAGGAGAGGTCGTGTGCGGGTCCCTTGGGTTGGAACTGCAGAACAGGTTGCAGGATCGGACAGGTCGCACTGAAGCTGCGGGCCGTCACTTGGTCACACACTCGGTGAGAAGGAGCAGGTAAATGCGCGCAAGGTGATGGTCATTGGATGCAGGCACATGCATACAGAGAGGACCAGGAGGATCGAGCCGGTGTCGCACGAGAGCGGGACGAGCGCAGTTTCCCGCGGGTGTGCCTAGGAGCGGAAGCCCTATGTTGTGTTTGGAGTCGGGCTAGCTTGGGAGCACGGGGCTGGGCCGTGTTTTCGATGAGAAGCGGAGCAACCAAAGGTGTCGTTTGCGATTTAGATGGAGAAATATTAGATCAGACAGGGGCGAGTTGAGCAGGTCAAAGAAGAGTCGCAAAGATTGATGGTGGATGTGACGATGAAGCCGTGGGATTTGGCAGCTGGTCGGACAGTGAATTCCGTGCAAACGATCTTGTACACTGAAGCTAGTTGGGTTGCTTGGTTGAGCAGGGTGAAGACAAAAGTAGGTGAAGGATTCTTGGTGGGTTCAAGAATCATTGACAAGCTGGCATAGAGTTCAAGCAGTTTTATGAGTTTCTCAGGAAAGTTGGAGACAGCCGCTCGCAGGAGTGCACAAGAAGCAGGCACCAGACTCGGCATCAAACGGGTGGCTCGTGCGAAGTTGCTGGACAGAGCATGCATGGGTGCCCAGGGAAGACAAGCAAGCCGGAGGGTGCTCTATGTTCGAAAGTGGGTGTACTGCGAGGGAGCTGGCACTGCATAAGGCTTTTCTTTGTTTTTTTATTGTAAAACTTGGACAAAGGTCGAGATTGTTATGAATTGATCCAATTTTATATTAGGTTGCTTTGCAAGACACCACATTAGTGTCCAATTTCTATATATAGATGCTATAGGTTGATGTAAGGGTTGGAGAAAATGAAATAAACTTTAGAAAGTTTTTCTCCAACAGTTGCTCTCTCTCCTTTCTCTCATCCAAGTTCAGGACGAGCCTTCTTCTTCCTCATGCAAAAATTTTAACTGTTGACATATGTTTGCTTCTTGTGCAATTGAGCTTGCAAAAATGATGAACTCAGTTTAGGAATGATTGGTCTTGCAATAACTCTGGTCTGATATGGAAATATTTAAATTGTATTGTGGAAGGGCGCAATTTTTTTATTTATGTTGGTGGCATTATTACAAATTTTAATGTTCCCCTTTCTAATTGGTTTGCTTTTTACCACCCAGTGGCTGTATTTTAGATTGCTAATTATGGCTCTTGTAAATGAAATGACTGTTATTTATAATTCTTTATGAATTGATGTTATTCGTCAAATGGGTCCTTTATATATTCATTCTTTTATTTGGTACTACGTTTGTACTTCTTACCATTTATACCCTTTTGAAGGCTATCAAATTGCTTTTGCTCAGAAGAAATGGTTCGAATTGAATTTAGATAGTCTTGGTTATTATTTTTATGAGGTTTTAACACTATCTTTTCCTTGTAGTTATTCCTTTTGTACATCGAAATTCGCCTTAACCAAATTGGACTTATCTTATTGATTTATCTGTATCATGTCATAAACTAGTCGATTGACTAAAAAATATCAACACATTTAAGTCACCAAGTGAACTCTTTAAAACCACTTTAACATCAGGGCCAATTCGAGGATGTTGACAAGCGTTAGAGCTACTCATCCCAGCTTTCCTGTGTACTCAACCTTAGGGCTGACTAGATGAAGTCATCCAGTCATTAGAACTTGGTTGAACTTGGCAAAACTTGGTGAAGGTTGCTAGTGATTTCACAAGAACTCATTGCTTATTTAGAAGTCATCGTGTGCTTCAATGTAATCAGATAGTTACGTGATAATAATATTTATTTTATAGCAACTTGCAATGCTATTCATTTATTTTTCATAAATGTAATATTTCCAATATTGTTTTGTTATAAATGCACAATCAGGGTGACATTAGGATGCATCGAATCATCATTAAAATTCTTATATTTTCTTGTAATATAATGAAATCATAGAGCTTCTCTCTCTTATTCACTCTTATTTTCTCTTGTTACTTAGCCATTCTATGACTACTGTACCAATCTTAGCTTTACCAGACTTCACTCAGGCCTTCATAATGGAGAAAGATGCTTCAGGATACGGACTGAGGGCAGTACTCATGCATTATCGTCTGCCCATTGCCTACTTCAGCCATGTGTTGAGAGATAGAGCCAGGTTGAAATCAGTCTATGAGAGGGAGTTGATGACCATCGTATTAGCCATCCAGAAGTGGCGACCCTACCTTTTAGGTAGGCATTTCATTGTTAGAAATGACCAGAGGAGCCTGAAGTACTTGTTGGAGCAGCGAATGATACCTGAGGAGCATCAGAGGTGGTTTTCCAAATTGTTGGGATATGATTTCGAAATCCAGTATAAGCCAGGAGTGGAGAACAAAGCAGCAGATACCTTGTTTAGATATATGGGGAGTTGCAGACAGTGGCAGTATTGGTTCCTTTGATGCTAGATTGGGATTCCACTAGAGAGGATAGTGTTAGGGATGAGTTGGGAAAAATCATGACAGATTTACTGAAGGAATGGGGTAGCCACACAAGGTACTTATTGGAGAGGGACAGACTGCTGTATCAGGTGAGGTTTGTGATACCGCGGACCTCAATTCACATTCCAAACTTACTCCAAGAGTTTCATCGAAGTGCTGTTGGGGGTCATTCAGGGGTGCAGAAGACATACATGAGGTTAGTCTCGAAGTTATACTGGAAGGGGATGCACAGAGATGTGGGGGAGATGGCGGCTAGGTGTGAGGTTTGTTAGAGGAACAAATACCTGGCTATATCGACAGGAGGACTACTAAAACTGTTGGCTTTATCGGGACGAGTATGAGAGGAGTATCCATGGACTTCATAGATGGGCTGCCCTGTTCAGAAGATTTCAGGGTGATTTTGGTGGTGGTGGACAGATTGAGCAAGTATGCTCATTTCATTCCCCTCCGACATCCATACATCGTGGTGATAGTGACTTCAGCTTTCATCAGAGAAGTGGTCAGATTGTATGGAGTGCTAGAGGCGATAATATTAGATAGAGATAAGATGTTCCTCAGTCATTTTTTGAAGGAGTTGTTCATATTACAGGGGACAGTTCTGAAGAGGAGTACCCATTACCACCCATAGATGAATGTCCAAATAGAAGTGATCAACAGGAGCCTAGAGACCTACCTGAGATGCTTTGTGTTGGAGATATCCAGGCTATGGGCCAAGTGGCTATCATGGGCTGAGTACTGGTACAACACCTCTTATCATTTCGCTTCTCATATGACCCCATTCAAGGTATTGTATGGAAGGAATCCTTCACACTTGGTGCACTTTGGGAGTAGCAATACTCCAGTTTCTTCAGTGGAGTATTTGGAGGAGGATGACAGAGTGTTAGAGAAATTGAAGAGACATCTACGAAGAGCTCAACAGATTATGAAGAAAAAGCTGATGGACATAGGAAGGAAATCCAATTCGAAGTAGGGGAGAGGGTGTTCTTGAAGCTCCCCCAACCATACAGGCAGAAGATAGTCGCCAACAGGAGGAATGAGAAGCTTGTTCCAAGGTACTTTGGGCCTTATGAAATAATGAAGAAGATTGGAGCGGCAGCATATTGGCTGAAACTACTACCAATGATGACTGTACATCCGGTTTTCCATGTATCTCAATTGAGAAGGGCTATTGAAGATTATATAACCAGCTCAGAGTTACCGGTGACACTTATTGATAATTTATTGGTGATTCTGAAACCTTTAGAGTTGATGGGGGTTCACTAGAAAGAAGATGGAACTAAGGAAGTGCTGATCAAGTGGAAAAATCTTCCTAACTACGATGCCACGTTGGAGCCATACAAGATGGTGAAACATCAGTTTCCTTGTTTTCACCTTGAGGATAAGGGGATTCTTTGGGAGGGCGGTATTATTATGTCGGTTCCTCCTGAACCGACCCCAAACCTTCAACTGGCACACCTAGGGCCGGTTTTGGTCTATAGGAGGCAGACTAGTACTTCCTCTTCCCCTCTTTGCAGCCCACAATAGTCGGTCCAACTATTCAAATTAAATCTAAAAGATAAAGGAGGGGGCCGCTAGGTTTTTGGAGGGAGTTTGGATTTAGAAAGTTATTTTTTTAAAAGGATTTAGAAAGTTATGTATTAAATAACATGAGGCGTTTAAGGGTTAGGTTATGCTTTAGTTTATTTATCTTGAAGTTTCCTTGACGTCTTGGGCTCTAGACTCCTCGTCTAGAGATTGGGAGAAAATGATCCTCTTCTCGAATTGAGGATCAATTGTATCTTGCTTTGTGTTTGCTTTGCTTTGATTCCATTAATGCAATCTATTGTTTTGGATTGATTTCATTCAGATTTTCACATTATTCTCGATGTTTTAACCAATTATTTGTTAGGATTGCTTGCAAACTCAAGTATTTCCTTTTGGATTACTTTCGAACTCAAGTATTTCCTATCAGTTAACACATTGAAGTTTGTCAGTATGAACTCGCCAAAACAAACTTGACACGTATTCTTGTCCTCAAGGTCAACTAGAAGTTGCCAAGCCTTAGTGCTACTCACCGGAACTTGCTTAGGTACTAGGCCTTAGGGTTGAGTGGAGGAAGTCGTCCCAACCTTCTGGTATTGCTATTTGTTAGAACCTAGCCAGCCTTGGTGAAATTGGCTAGAGCCTTCACTATATCTTGTTATTTATTTTTAAATTTACATTTAATGTGATTACACTGTTGTGGGCTAGCAATATTCATTTTATAGTAAGACTTTATTAGGCCTCATGTAAATTATTGTTTTTTTCATAAATTTAATATGTTCTACAGTTCTATGCCTCAATCATTACCTATAAATAGGGGATTGAGGGCGAGCCTATGAGACATCAAATCATATATAATCACATGTCTTGTATTTTTTTTGCAATATAGTGATATCTCATAGCTTCTCTCATTAATCTCTCTTTCTCTCTATTCTTCTCTTTTGTTACTTAACCATTTTTGTCAGTAGGGTTCTAAAGTTGCCCATGGACAAATTTTTGTACAATACCTTTATTATCTTTTTTGCTTCAATGGAATTCCTTGCTGTGTAAGGTGAGTCTGATGCTTATGTAGGTGCTAAGGAGAGAGGAGATAAGTCCAGTGCTAGCACAACTCATGCGAAAATGTCATTATTAAGGCCGTAAGGCATGCTTAGGCAAGCGCCTTTTTTGAAGGCCCTAATTTGTAAGGTGAACACCTTTTCATCAAACTTTTGTTTTATTATAGTTAATACATGGCTACATCCTTTTGGTTCTTTTTCTATATAAGGTATAAATAATAATTTTAAAACTATCTTAGTTCTAAAAATTCTTTTAGAGGTTGTTTGGTTTGTTAAAAAAAATAATGCATAGTAAAAAAATGTAGTTTAAAATACAATTTGAGTGTTTGGTTTGATGAAAAAAAATGCAATGTAAAATTCTAGTGAATTCCTTTTCACAACCTAGTTCAATTTTAATGTATTAAACTCGCACAATTTTGGCCAAATTCATTTTTTTTACCGCAAACTGACTGTGTTGTTAATGCCCACCAAGGTTTAAAATTACACAATTGGGTATTGAGGCATTTTTTGTTCGTGAGGCGAGGCGTAAGCCTCAAAATCAAAATTGTGTTAAGTCAAAATAAATGTTAAAAGAAAATTTTTATATAATATACAAATAATATATTAAAGGATGACGTGTTAACTTTCTATTAAATTATTAAGTAACTAATTGACATACGTATGAAATAAAAAATTACACAAGTTGTATAGTGACAAGTGATAAATTGTGTGAAATATAATTGAAATCTAAATATTATAAGAGTAAAATAATATTAAATATACGAATGGCATAAAAGTATCATATAATTTCAAGTTCAACTCTAAATTCCCTCTTTCTCAATTTTCCACTCATCCACGTTTAATTTCTAAAGAAAGTTAAAATAGTTGAGAAATCGTATGCACTGTCATCATTGAGAGGTTTTTTTTTTTTTGAGTCATTATCATAATAAATTGGTCTTTACCTATCTTATCCTATGAAGTTCAATACCACCAAATTTGTTTCTTCATTTATTTCAGTCATCATTCTCTTTCAAAAATATTTTTCATTAACATAAAGATGAGATTAATACTCAAAAAATTTTAGAGGAAGATGTGGTGATGGTATGCTGGTTTCAAGTGATCCCGGTGATGGCTACGACGGTGATGACTATGAAGAAATCACAGGGCTGGAGATCAAGGCAGCCAAGAGGAAGTTACTGTTACTTGGGGGTGCATTAAAGCATGATTTGTTCGAGGCTTTTGTTTAGGATTTATATAAGTTTTGATAAAAATACATATAAATAGGTTGAGGCGTTAGACTCACGTTAGTAAGGCGTAAGACTCACGGCGATAAGGCATAAGACTCATGCTGGTGAGGCGTAAGCCTCACGCCGGCGAGGCGTAAGCCTCATGCCAGTGAGGCGTTGTGTGCCTCAAGGTGGGCCTCAGCCAAGTTAAGGAGCAAGCATCAGAAAAAAATGTTTGAGGCGTAAGCTTCGATGCATTTTTTATTGGAATTGCGCTGAGGCGGGCCTCATATTGTGCAATTTTAAACAATGCTGCCTGCGACCATCGTTGACGACTGCCACTACTGTTAGCCGACTGTCGATCACCGCTGTCGATTGGCATCCACCTACTGGCCGCCAATCATTTCTGACCGCCACCTTCACTGCTAACCAATTTGACTAACCAATATTGGTTGGCGTCTTCCTCCACCTGACCATCGACCACTATTGCCACTGCTGCCTGACCATTGACCACTGCTACCACCGCCGCTTGTTATTGCTCGTCACTGATCGCCAATGATGGCTACCACTATCATTTTATTTTACATTGCATTCATTTTACCTCAAAAAAAAAAAAAATCTTATGCATTCCTTTTATACTCATGACATATCCAAACAACTTCAAACATTTCAAATACACTACATTCTATTTGCACTGTATTCCTTTTTACCTTGCATTCTTTTTTTTAGCAAAGCAAATAGTCCCTTAGTACTTTAGTTTAGGAGTTTTAACAATTTGGATAAATTCAATCTCTATATTTGCTTATGCTTCCATGAAATTTTAAAGATTATAAGCCCATTTATGTATTATTTGAATACAAGGTTTAAATATCCAAAAGTGTGCATGCCAAGTGCACGCATCATGTATGAGTGTTCTTTGGAGGGTTATGCATAAGATTATCCCTGCATTGCAAAGTGCTGTTTTGATTAATTAAACTCATGACCTTGTTACAATATATACAATTTTAGCATACTTTAAACGAGAACTTTAAATAATATGTAATTACTTAATTTATACTTTATTTCAATTTAACATCAATTTAAATGATGGATACAATTTTAAATATTAAGTAATTTAGATATAATTAAGTATAATATTTATTCCTTTATGCATGTATGTTATGTAATTCTTTATTTTTTGGATAGGAGACAACAATATATTGCATTTGAATGAGAACTTTTAATGCGGACATCCAACCATCCATACCTATCCGAGGAGATGAAGATCGACGGCCATCATCGCCCCACGTTTTCTTAAATTTTATTTGTAATTTTTATTTTTATTATGAATTTTTCATTTTTTACCCTCACTTAAGGGTCGTCCTATGTAAGCCCTAGGGACATATGTGTTTTGTTTAGTTTCTTAGGCATATATATAGAGGTCCTTTCTTGTGTAATGTAATGATGGATTATTAATAAAAAAGAATTAGTGCTTTTGTCTTGATCTCTGTGTGAGTTATGCTTGATCTCTGTGTGAGTTATGGAAAGGAAAAGTCTTATGGGAGGACAACCTTATTTCCATCAGCTGCAGGATGGATTCGGGTTCGTGGATTGAAGTCCTTCGGAAAGGGCAACGTAGTACCCACCAGCCGCAGGAAGAGTCCGGGCTTGTGATTTGTATCGTTTTTATTTTATTTTTCTTTGTCCTCTCATCTTTAGTCTTCACCATTCACCATCCATTTTTTGTTTTATTTCGTTTGACTTTAGCTAACTTTTCTTTTGGATCAAAAATCAACCCCTCCACCTCCATAACCGGTCGACCACCTCACCCCTAGCCTCTTCCCTCCACAAATTTTGAATTTTGAATTCAAAATAGCCTATTTATTAACTTCATAAATTACTTTATTGTTAACTTGGAAAGTTCCTAATTTGAATTCAAAGATATTTGAATTTCAAATCATTTTTGAATTAACAAATCTATTTTTGGAAGCCTTCCCCTAATTTCTCGAAATATGAAATCAATTTCAGATTTAATATCAAATCTCATTTAATGCCTTGTGCCACATACATCGTATGTGGACATCTCCCCCCCTCCTCCTTTTGCCGCCCCCCTTTTCCCTCGTATATTAGGGTCCGTTTGGGACGGCTTTATTGTTGCTGTGCTTTATAAAAAACTGTTAAAGGGATGTTTGGGACATTGCGGCAGACCTACGTTGGAAAAATTTCTGCGGCCCATCCCCGCTTCGCGCGACCTTTCCCTGCCTCCCGCGGTCCACTGCTTTCCGCGGTTTCGAAGGACAAAAATGTCGCAAATGCCCCGTCCTCAATTAATGCTCTCAATCAAATCCCTTTCCCTCTAAAATTTATTCTTTCCTAAATTAAGTTGTTCTAATTTTGATAACTTTTTGAATTCAAATTCAAACGAATTTGAAATTTCAAATTCTTTCCTAAATCATTTAGCTTAATTTTGAAAAGCCTTCCTTTCAATTAAGGATTGGGTAAATAAAAAATTAATTGGGAATCAATTCAAATTCCACATTCATTGAAGCTGGACACCCTATCCCCTTTCCCTCTGTCTTTGGCCAACCCCTTCCCTCCCTTTTCCAATTAATTTGAAAATTCTAAACTCACATGACCCCCCCTTCATTCTACATCAATTTGGTATCAGAGCATGGTTGCTCACTCGGGGAACGAACTCGACAGAGTCGAGCTCTTTTTCACCTCGGGAGAATGATGCGGACATCCAACTGTCCATGCCTATCCGAGGATGAGCTAAGATCGACGGCCGTCATCGTCCCACGTTATCTTAAATTTTATTTGTAATTTTTATTTTTATTATGGATTTTTCATTTTTTACTCTCACTTAAGAGGGTCGTCCTATGTAAGCTCTAGAGGCATATGTGTTTTGTTTTAGTTTCTTTGGCCTATATATAAAGGCCCTTGCTTGTGTAATGTAATGATGGATTATTAATAAAAAAAGAATTAGAGTTTTTGTCTTGATCTCTGTGTGAGTTATGGAGAGGAAAAGTTCTATGGGAGGACAACCTTGTTTCCACCAACCGCAGGATGGATTCGGGCTCGTGGATTGAAGTCCCTCGGGGAGGGCAACATAGTACCCAACAGCTGCAGAAAGAGTCTGGCTCGTGGTTTGTATCGTTTTTATTTTATTTTTCTTTGTTCTCCGCCCTCATCTCTAGTCTCCACCATTCACCATTCGTTTTTTGTTTTATTTCGTTTGATTTTGGCTAACTTTTCTTTTGGATCAAATATCAACCCCTCCACCTCCATAGCCGGCCGACCAACTCACCCCTAGCCTCTTCCCTCCACAAATTTTGAATTTTGAATTCAAAATAGCCTCTATATTACTTTCATAAATTACTCTATTGTTGACTTGGAAAGTTCCTAATTTGAATTCAAAGATATTTGAATTTCAAATAATTTCTGAATTAACATATCTATTTTTGGAAGCCTTCCCCTAATTTCTCTTAATCTGAAATCAATTTTAGATTTAATATCAAATCTTATTTAATGCCTTGTGCCACATACATCGTGTGGACATCTCTCACCCTCCTCCATTGGCCGCCCCCTTTATCCTCACATATTAATTAATTCCCCCCAATTAATGCTCTCAATCAAATCCCTTTCCCTCTAAAATTTATTCTTTCCTAAATAAAGTTGTTCTAATTTTGGTAAGTTTTCGAATTCAAATTCAAATGAATTTGAAATTTCAAATCTTTCCTAAATCATTTAGCTTAATTTTGGAAAGACTTCCTTTCAATTAAGGATTGGGTAAATAAAAAATTAATTGGGAATCAATTCAAATTTCACATTCATTGAACCTGGACACCCTATGCCCTTTCCCTCTCTCTTTGGCCAACCCCTTCCCTCCCTTTTCCAATTAATTTGAAAATTCTAAATTCACATGACCCCTCCCCCGCGCCCGTTTGTTCAAAATCATAATTTGCATGCTACAGTTTTGCAAGAGTGCTTGAATTAATCGCATTCATGTTCTCTCTTATCCCTTGCCATAGGCTCGCTTCAATATTCATCATCTTTGTTTTTGTCTTCATTATTGACCTATGGTGAATTGCGTGACTTGCTTGAACCCGAACAAGCTTGGTTGGGCCTGAACAATTCAATTGCATCCTCACATGTTTTTTGACTCTGAACAATTCTACTTACGCCTACACCTGCCCACCAGAATTACTAGCAGCTATTAACATAACTTGTATTCATAAAATTTTTGTTGATGGGAGTTGAAGCTCACACTTTTAATTAGATGTTGGAAATATCAATTATGATGCGGTATTAAGTACTGGTAATAACATCTTATGTGCTTTTATACATGCTTAGCAAGTTCTTATTTATTGATGGATTTTTTAGGGTTGGGGAAGGGTGTAATGGGGTTTGCTTATATAAATGTTATTTGAATAATTTAGAGTCTGTTTGGGGTAGTTGTAGACTTGTAGTTTTATTACAAAGTTAACCTTTGTTTTTTGAAAATTATTGTCGGTATTATAAATATCTTCTTTTTTGAAAAAAAATTGACATTTGCCTTTTTATAACCAGCGCACAACATTAGATCTTGTTGTAAAAGCAACTTCTCACCACAAAATTTTGGGGAAGAAATAAGAAAGTTATAGCCAAATAGAAGTATGACAACAATATGAGAAATAAAGCAATGTGAAAGTTTCCCAAACATACTCTGAATTTTGACTACTGATACCGAGATATTTGAAATTGCCAATTGTTGCCAATGATTTTATATGACTATACCTAATTAGTAAGTTATCTTTGGTCCATCGGAGCAAGATAATGTCATTATAGTTGTGAAATATTTAATCTTCTTTCTCATTCTTTCTTGTCTATTCTTAGATATGCATCTTTCCATGAAACGTCTAGTGATGTTATCATGATATTAATAAAAGGTATGAATCTTAAGGCTTGGGCTGTTATACTCATGAAAGATATTTGATATCATGACTGATTGTCCTTGTTATATTTATATGCTATATATCTGTAAACCTACCTGATTGTTTTCTCTTAGTTTTATTCAATATATTGGTAGATGGTTGCACTTGACTTGTATGATTGGGTGTTTCTTATTGGCATTTATCTTTTTTTGTTTAGTATTGCTGCTTTGTGAGGCCGAGAAGAAATAGATGTGTTGGCGTGCAGTACTACAATTTTCTTTTTTCTTGGCATGCATTTTGGTTCCGGTTCTCTGAGAAGAAATAGATGGGATTGGAAACATGTTCATGATGATGTCTTTACTTCTTGTTGGGACAAGAATTTTGATGAATAATGCTATTGCTTAATTGACTTCCAAGAATATAGTTAAAATACTCATTCTATCTATTAAAATGAAGGATTTGGATTTCAGCAGAATATCGAGTTTAAACTATATTGTGGAAATTTTTGAAAGCTTCTTTTAGATCAGATTTATCTTTCAATAAGTATAGGCAACACACGAGTATGTTCATCAATAAAATTAATGAACTGCGCTTTGGAATAAAGATTTTGACATATGGATGGAATTCATATATCGCCATGAATAATAGAAAAAGTTTTGGCAGCTTTATGAGACTTAGGCTTAAATATAGCTCTTTGATTTTTCACAAGTTGAAAAAATATTATTTTTTACCAAACAAACAAAGAAATAAGTTTTACATTACATAAAATTAGATGACCTAATCTAGAATGATAACTTGATCAATTTTTGCAAGAGAGGAAAGCTCTTTAAAGATGGATGGCAAGGGTATGATTACTAAATTTGAAATCCTCATCAGAGTAGCACAAACATCTATCCATTTTAGCACTATTAATCTTTTTTCCTTTTCTCTAAAATTCACAAAATTTTGATAAGAACGTGATTTTACAGATGCATTCTTTTGCTGTATTGCTTACAGATAAGTGGTTTCAATGACGATTTATGCATGTAAAATAAAATTGAGATAAAACCCAAGGTTAAAATTCTAGTAATAGGGATAGAAATCCATCAGCAATTTTGATTTTTGGAGGTTTTAAGCAAGGGAGTATGAATTGAGAATATGTGTCCATAATTCGTCAGGTGATCTGAAACTCACGAGTCGATGATCCATAATTTTTTGCCTTTATTAGTGTATATGAGGGCTAAAGGAAATACACCTTTCTTTGTTAAAAGAGAAGAGTTGACAATTTTTTTAAGAGTAACTTGTATGGCAGAACAAATTCATTTTGTTCAAGGAAATGCTACTAAGATTTTCAACGGGTTTCTTCTTTAGATTTTGTTTTTAGTTTGATAAGCATGAGTGTCTTTGTGTAAAATTGATCTGATTTGTTGGCTTGCCATGAAGTTTCTAACAATTCTTTAGTGTGATTGGTCTTCTTACAAACATAACTCCAACGAATGGCTTTTTTTCCACTTCTTGAGTGGTGTCTTGTATTTTGCTCCAAATATTTGATGTTATGTCCGGATTCTTTATTAATTAGATTGTTCTTGGTATTTCTTAGCTTTATTCTTTATTTTCTTTCTTCCCTTCAAACTTAAACAAATACTTATTCACTTTTAGGAATTGGATGATTCCTTAGGATTCTTTTACGAACTTCATGCAGGTCTTTATTGAGTCATGCAAGAAAATTATATGTTCCTATTTTTTCTTCAAGTTTAACTTATTTACCTAAACGTTTTCTGCATCCATCGTTTAGCTTGAAAATATCTCTTTTTTTTTTTTCTAAATTTTTTTTAGTATGGTGAAGTATTCGGCAATACTTGGGTTTCCTTGCTTTAGGTCAGTAGCATGATCTTGTAATTCATATAATCGAGGTTTTAATGTATGTGTGGTGTTGTAGACAAAGTATAGGGATACAATATTTTCTTCCATATAATTAATAAGTTAAGATATTACTAAGGCAGTTTTGATATCTCGTGTTGAATGAAAAGGTTGACCACATCAGGTTGACAAATGGTATTATTTAGGTATCAAATCTTTCCTGTTACCATTGAAACTGAACGAGAGCATTGGAAGAAGTTTTTTTTTTCCATTTAGTTTGCAGGATATGATTTGAAAACTCTAGTGCTTCATGGAAACTCCCAAAGTTTCATGGCTTGGTTGGGTGGAAGGACCCATATTCTCTCCAACTTTGCTAGACTTGATTAGTGCCCTTTTGTAGCCGGCCATAGCTTATGATATAACATGTTTTATTATTTATTTATTATATATATATATACCTTACAATAAAGAGGTAGGTGAGAATAAATAATAGAGAAAGAGGTATATATTTCCATGCTTGCATTGGACGAAATCCATTCCTGCTATATAGAAGGCTTACAAGGGTGAAAATTAGGTAAGAAATAGACTCTCTTACCAAAAAGGAAACCTAATTAATACAATTTATTTTTGATATGAAAAGCTACAAAATATAATAGATCTGTTCGCTAGAAGTCAGCTACAAGATTGTTTCAAATCAGTGGCCTCCTATACAAAATCCAAACTGCTAGGTGGCAAGAGGAAAAGGAAAACAGGAATTGCTATACAGGGATGTCTTCCTGCCATCCAGGCTCAATCCAACAAGCATTTCAGCTGGGGATCCGCCAGACCCACATTGCAGGAATTACCTTCCAGTGATGTCTGCCTGTTGTCTAGTGCACAGGCTAGCATAAATTTTTTGTTTGGGGCTTCTTCAACTATGGTATATGATAAGAATATTTTATTCTTTCTTTTGGCAAGAGCAGCGTCACATATTTCAACATTTTTTGCAGTATTTTGTTTCTTAGGATAAGTCTAATGATGATGATTTTAGGTAAAAGTTAGTTACTCTGATTTATTTAGAGTTCATGTGGTGCAAAATGTTTATTTCTTGTGCATATTGAACAGTCTCAAGTTTTAGTTAAAATATCAGCCTTCTGATGATTTTGTTAGGAGATTAGATGTATTAGATCTGACCTATGTTAAGAAAGGTAGAGATAGACCTAAAAGTATTTGGTCAGAAAGGATTAGAAATGATTTTTTTATTAGATTTAAATGAGAATTTGACTCTTAATTGGATACAATGGAGAAAAAGGATTATGTCGCTGACCTCATGTAGGGGATAAAGGCTTCTTGTTGTTTTTGTTGTTATATGTTATTCTCGTGATGTCAACTGTCTTCCAAGTGCTAAGCTGAAACTGGCATATCCTGTTATCAGTTTATTTCATCTTTTTGGTTCAAAATTTGTGTGATTCATTAATTTATCCACGGAAGATCAAGTTCTTCTTGTTGCATATTTCATATAGATTCTAATGCATGTATATTACCTTTTTTTTGTCACAATTACAGAATGCTAAGCATTTTCATAGTTACTCTGGCTAACTGTGTAGCTTATTTATGTTGCTCCATTTATTGTTACTTGTTCAGGCTTCCATGAAAGTAATTTATACTTGCCCTTCCTCATTGTATTCAGGACTGAAGTGGGATAAATTATAGCACCCCTCTTGATAGGCATATGTGCCGTTGTCTTACCTGAAAACGTTATATATTTTTTTATTCCTGTTGCCTAATATGTTTTCGGCCATTTTCTACATACCTAAAACTTGCTTTTCCATAGACTTTTTTTCTTTTATCTTTTTTTATTCCACGAATCTGTTTTTAAAAATTATTATTTCATTTAGTTATATTCACATTCTTCTAGTTATTATTGATAATTCTTATACCGTCTAGGGTTATTGAGCTCATGACATTCTTGAATATGAGTTCTGGATACAGTTGCGTGAACCTGTAAATAACTGTAAGTAAGCAGGCTTAGTGGAGACAGGCTTTTTTAGAAGCGTTAGATTTTGGTTGCAGTTTTCTTTTGTGAATAGAAATGGAAGCTATGAACGCAAAGGCGTTGGGTAGTGCTGGAGTTCCTCGTAACAAAATCAAGAGGAAAAAGTTCCCATCCGATCCAAATTTCAGTGGTGATCATGCACGGGTTAATCAATATGATGGCGAACATTCACGGCTCACTTGTTGCAATTTGATTAATGCTGGCTCTGTTCCAACTGGAAAGCTTACTGTTAAGAAGTACCACAACTTCATAAAAAGTGGCTTGCCCAATCGGTTGCTGTTTTACCATGACAGTGAATGGATAGATTTTGGTGCAGATATTGTTGGTCTGGTCCGCGATGACTTCCAAGCAAAGAGGGCCATTATTGAGGTAACTTATCAGGACCAACAGTTTTTACTGGACTTTGTGCGCATGCTTCATATTGATGCAATGACAGGTCTCAGCAAGCCAGTTGCATGGATTGATGAGCATGGAAAATGCTTCTTTCCAGAAAAATTCCCTGAATATTGCGACTCCCATGGATTCCTCATGGGAGAAAATGTTCGCGTTGCTTGTGTGCTAGACAGGACACAAGAAGTGGATTCCCATATTGAAACCATTGATAGTGCTGCTGAAAGCTCAAATTCAGAATGCGCCAAGGTTAAGCAACAACAGGTTAAGAGTGGAAAGCTTTTTTCAGACAATGAGGGCATGGCCATGGTGAGTGAAGCAGTGGGTGAAAATGAACTATGCTCTCTTATCCCATACAAGGTATCTTGTTTTGGAACAATGGAGGAAAAAAATGCGATTGGAGCAGACAACTGTCAGCTTGTTTCTAGTCCTGTCCAGAAATTTTTTCTTTCTGGAATGTATCCTTATGTTGATGCCAAGGACATAGTTAGGATCCTAAGAACTCCGATAATAGATGATTTTGGAGACATCCGCTTTCATAGTTTTCAAAAGCAGATTGAGATGACGAAGAGCCTTCGTAGTAATGCCAATGTGCGCTATGCATGGCTGGCTGCAACCAAGTCTTCTGTAGAAGACATAATGTTGCATGGAGTTATGAGGGCAGAAAAGCCAGTGCGTGGTAGTACATATGGCCTTGGTGTTCATCTTGCACCTGCAAACTGCCCCATTATCTGGTGAGGTTTTACTTCTCTTGATTCTTATCTTAATTGCTAGATTATGGGTAAGAAAATGCTTAAATTTTTTTTGTCTGTGGATCTTCATGGTGAAAATTATCATATATGCTGCTTCTATGTTGTTGCTGCTTGACTATTTCGTTTTAGTTTTCCATGGTTATCTTACTCTAAGATGCTAATGATTTTTTTTCAAGAAATTTGTGTTGCTGAGAAATTGCTATCCACAGTGCCACCTATTCAGATGTGGATGAAAATGGAATATCTTATATGATGCTATGTCGTGTCATCATGGGCAATGTGGAACTCGTCTGCCCTGGATCTAAACAGTTTCAGCCTAGCAATGATAATTTTGACAGTGGTGTGGATGATTTTCAAGCACCAAAACATTATGTTATTTGGGACACGAATATGCATAGTCACATCTACCCCGAGTATGTTTTGGCTTTTAAGCTTGGCTCTGAAGCCAGAGGTAGTTCTTGTGATATGTTGGGAAGTTCAATTTAATATATTTGGAATCTTGATGGCTAGGTAGATCTTGGTATTTTATTTTGCTGCAGAGCATCTTTTTGGGAAAGAAAATGTATCTAATGAATCCGGAGTAACAAATGGTACTTCTTCGCCTGCTCCACTTCTGAAGGTGTCTCTCTCCTTTTTTATTTTCTTTTTTTGGTTTATAATTTTCTTCAGATATGCAGTAGAACTGTCTTGTACCTTGAATTTTAGTACTTAGCATAATCATTTTACTGCTTGTTTGTTGGCTTTTGTTTTGCTGACTGTTAGCAATGTGTGAAAATGTGTTGAGGTCATATGATTTATAAATGAAGATGGATAAAATGTTCTTTTCTGTTCTCAGGAAGAAAATGGTGATCCACCTGTCATTACAGCTGGGAAACCCCAGGGTAACGCTCAGGCATTTGGCAGAGTTCCGAAGCCAACATCTCCATGGATGCCCTTTTCCATGTTGTTTGCTGCGATTTCAACCAAAGTTTCTTCCAAGGATATGGATCTTGTTAATACACATTATGAAGAATTCAAGGTATCTAACTTAAGTTTTCATTGCTATTAATTTTCTCACCCTTGAGGTATTTGTTCTTTGTTTAAGACTCTTTGCGTTCTATTTTCTTCAGAAAAGAAAAATAAATAGGCTTGAACTTGTTAAGAAGTTGAGGCAGATCATTGGAGACAAGCTTCTTATATCTACTATAATGAGGCTTCAACAGAAGGTGAGTTATATATAATGTTGATAACTTCGAGGGTGTATAATGAGAACCATCATTTCCCTGTGCGCTTCTGCTATAAGCTTATATGAGTCTTGTTTAATTCCAATATTGCAATAAAATAGAGGAAGTGCTCGATGTTGTATTTTGTAGTCATTAATTGTTAGATTTGTTTCCCAGATTTAACGAATGTTTTACTTTCATGACTGTATTGGCATAAGGATTTTTTTTTCAACATTTTGGGGTAAAGTACTCTCATTTTTGCTATCAATTCGTGCGTCATTTGTAGAAGGTCAAGCGGTAAAATAATCTCATAGTTGGTGCAGTCAAGTTTATTACTTTTTTTAAGTCATGTTTGGCATTGTCAATTTCTATTTTTTTTTTCCGCAAAGATATTAAATTTTGGTCCATTGGGATGTGAGAAGGAGTCTTCTTGCGTCCCCCTGTGCGAGGATTATAATTCATGATAAAACAACTTTCCAACCCATTCGCAGGTGTGTTGCCCATGAAAGTCGCATCACGTTGCAGTGAAGTTAAAACTGCTCCTGCCACCTCAAATAAATCCCTAGGATTGCCCCTCATTGCATATAGTTATTGGGACCAAAATTTTTAAAGCTTATTTGGCATTAAAATTATGAATCAGTTGCTAAATCATATATAATATTTAAGTATTTATTTAAAATTAACTATTGCTACCTCTTAGATTTTGTTTTTTTAATGATTTACTCATCCTCATAGTTTTCCATACTTTATTTATTTACAATATGGTGATTAAGACGCATTGGTACTTAAATTTATCCCCAAGTCGTGTCTACTCAGATCTGTTTGGAAGGATAGGACAAGTGCTTATTGCTTTAACAAATGCTATTTGGTCCGGTATCCTTAACTTTTAATCATTACTTATTTTATTCAAAATCCGTTATTGACATAAATTTTTAGTCGCAACATGCTAGTATTGAAATGGGTTAATCTACTTTTTATGAATTTCTGCTTCTATCTTTTCTATCAGTATATTTAGTTGAACTAAAAATGGCATTATTTTGTTTCTTCCCATCATAAAGCCTTCAAACTTGAAGATCAAACTTACTGCTTGGTTGGGATTTTCTCCATGAATCAAAATGTCAATGACGTGTTGCTTATTACTGTTGAAGCATAAAATATTGGCAATTATATTTTTGAGTAGATAAGTCTGCCTAGGGATTCAATTATACAGGTTATTTAACTGAATTGTCAATATTAATTTGACTACAAAGTAGAGCCTTTGTGGCCAGTGATTATGGAATTTTTTTTCAATAGCAACTTAGAATCCAATAATTTTTGGTGCAGCATAAAAGAGGCATATACTAGTTTTAAAAAATGCAAATATAAAGAATATGCGTCTTATCATTTTCTTTATTATTGCTTTTGCAGTCAAAGAGTAAAATTTTAATGACTTGGTGAATATTTGTACGATTTATATTTTATAAGGAAGTTACACTCATGGTTCCATCCTCATGAGATTTTTATTATAGAAAGCTTAAGTTTCAATCTATGGATTCCCTAATGATTCTTGGAGTTTAGACTAAATTTCAGGATAAAAGAGTCTATTTTTTCCCGTTATTTTCAAAACTTTTTAATTCTTTAGCTAATTTCTCTCTCTGTTTTAATTAAATTTTTTCTTCTTTTTCTTTGAAGTTTTTATTTCAACCTTCTTATAAACAGATTTTATTTTTATTTTTCTTAATTTGGTTTTAAAGTCTTTTTAATGTTTTTTTTTTCTTTTTCTAAATACTTTTTATTATCTTTTAGATTGATTTTTATTTCCTTTTATTTTAGTTGACTTGTTTTTGTTTATTTTAGGTTTAGTGTTTTTAATTTTGTTGACTATTCATTGATGATTTATGACATTAATGAATTGTTGTTAATTTTGTGAGATTTTTTTTTTTAATTTTAAGTTAGGCTTATATTTTGTCTCGGAAAAATAAAATGTTTCATTTTATGATTTCATCTTCTTAAACCTTGATAATAATTATGTCAAGTGATTTCTAATATTTGTTAAAAATTAATTTAAAGCAAAATTTGTATTTATCCACCTATGGGTATGTTCTTATGACCCAAACATATTATTGGTTAAAGCCTTAGAATGATTCTAAAAAGTTTAATACATAGGAGTTCCTTGAATAAAAAAGGAATTGCAATGATAAAGAGTGGATTTTGATAAACCTGGATATAGGATGGATTGGAATGACCGTATATTAACCTTTTAGCCCTTATTAAATTTGGAAGGGATGAGCATATATATATATATAATGACAATTTTGTAAAAAGGGGTGTGTGCCACACATTGCTACAACGATGCTAATGGCCATTTGTAACAGATAGGGTGAGTTGTATGGGTGGAGTCATGTATGGTATCTTTTGTTGGTTTTAGCAGCTAAGCCCTTGAACTTTTGAAGTAATAACTTTAAAATAAAACGTTGAATTATATAAACTTTTTGGCGCTTTATATAAATGTAAAATGTGTGTATCACTGTGTTGATAGGATATATTTTAGTATGCTGAGAATATATATAATTTACATACAAATATTAGTAATTACGTTAAGTGCATATTCTGATCAAATGTTAGACGCTCAAAATGTATGTTATCTTCTATACTAATAGTTGTAATTACGTTATTTGTATTTTTTGCAAAATAATCTGTTTAAATATGCCATGTAGTTTAAATATGTTACGCTCGAAAGTTTGAATTCAAAGAACCTATATATATGTATGTGGCCTTTTCTTGTTCATGCTGGTTGGCCATGGAAACATAAACTGGCTCTAAGCTCATCCTGGAATTAAGATTACGTCATTGTGGATTTGTTATTCAAGCATTGCAGATGCTGAACATATTAGTGTATCAAAGTATTTCGGTGGTTTATTTGACTACCTACTGGAACTTCAAATTCACTAAAATCCGTTTGTTTTTGCAGCTTCCTCCCACGGCGATACAGGAACTCTCATTTCCAACCAGCAAGAAGCTCCAAACAAAGCCTTGAGCGAAAGTTGTAGGCTTTGCACAAAGGTTAGGATGTTTGAAGTTTTAGGGTGGATTAGCACTTGTCTGACTTTTCTATACTCCAGAAGAATTTCTGGGATCCGTCGAAATGAATAAATACACCTTTGTGAATCTTTTGACATGTCTTTTGTGATTTGCTTTGATTATGGTGCTTAGTGACAGGCAGCTGTGTTGTTTGCCATTACCCCTTTCATCTGCGCCTTATTTCACTTCTGTTACCAGTATTTGTGGATCGTAAGAAAGAGCCGTTGCCCAATTTCTGGATTTTTTCTTTGCGCCAGAGGGTTGTTAAAATAGGTTGGGTTCATCGGCGCTGGAGAATATCAATCGATGTCTTGAATTGGATTAATTATTCTGTGCGGTTGCTGAATGTCATCTGAAGACTAACTAGAATGCGTCAAGTCACCTCTTTGTTCGGTACTGCGGCTCGTTACCGTTGACTTGACACATTTTAGTTGGTCTCCGGACGACATTCTGCATCCGATCTCTGCACAGAATAATTTCTCCTTGAATTAGAGTTGACGTGTGTATATTTTTGTTGCCTTTTGGTTTGAGAAGGTAAGCCAACTTAGGTGTTTTAGTGGTATTTTTTTTGCCTGTTGAAATTGTGCGCCTATTTGAAATAAACCATAAAATCGACTTTTCATAGGTAGGCCATGCCGTTTGAAATTGTTAACAATATGATCTTGATCTGATTCAAGCTCCCTCATTCGATTTGATTGTCTTGAGCTAATTACGATTAGATTGGCTCAATTTGATCTGGCAAATTGACGATTTGGGAAGTAATTTTAAGACTTTGAATGTTTTATTTTATGTTTTTGATTAAATGTTTTAAAAAATAAATTAAATTAGGCAATATAACCATTTGGGAAATAGGTGCTTCTACTTCGTAGAAATATTTTTCTTATTAAAATTAAGTGTCGTACAGATTAGTATGTGCAGGTAGATGAGTAAACACTCTACAATTTTAATATTAAAATTGTGGACTTTCATCATGGTTCTTTGTCGATCTTAACTTTGATCCTTATAATTTTTAAAATTTATTTTGCTCGTTCTAATTTTATAATTATGATTTGCCAACTCCATTAAGTTTGTGATATGAGAGCTTACAATAGGTTTATGATATTGAGAGATTTAACATGATATATTATATTCACTAATCAAAAGCTTCATCAATGATAATTATCATTGCATTAGGCTTCATTTGGGATGATTTTCTCATTGCTTATTAAAGCAGTTTATTAATAATTTTTTTTTAATTTTTTAACTAAAAAATTACTTTAAGTAGTAAGAAAGCCACCCAAAGGCTTAGCCTTAGTGTTGAACTGTTGAACCATTGTTGCCAACTACCAATCAACTGACCAACTTGACCATGACTGAACCAAGTCAATCAGGTCATCTCAAAGACAGGATCATCTAATCATTTTCTAAGTAGGGGATGGTGCATTCAATGTTAATAAAAATATAGAATATTATCATACAATTTTGAATAAACTGAATTTTATTCTTAAAAAAAGTTATAAGTATACGGAATTCCAGAGTTCTGACTATATCTTCAATGCTCACTGGATGGGTCCCAACCGGGAGGTTTAATATTGGGCCAATCTCCACGGCATCCTAATCTAATGTAGAGACTCTTCTTCCCTGTCATGAAAACATACAAAGAGAGAAGTTCAGTTCTTAGATTGCTTCAGAAAATGCTTAATAGATGCGAAGTTAGCATAGAGAAGAAAAAGTTTACAGATTTAAGTTTCTGTTTGAGAAGGCTTTATTACTGCTTCTTAGTGCGAGTTTTCTAGTACAAAAATTATAGCTGCTTTAAGAAGCAGTAAAAAAGCCGTCCCAAACGAAGTCTTAAATGCATCAGGAAACCTTATACATCACCTGTTAGCTGCTTATCAGACAATATAAGTTGTTTGAGTGCTCTCAAACATCCAAGAGCAACCTCTTGTGCATGATTCTTGTCCCATCCAGCAAGCTTCACAACTACATCAGCATTGGTGTAGCCAACACCTCCATCTTGCATGTTCCTTATGGCTTCCTTCCTTGCGCTTGCTTCATCTGCTGCGTTACAGCAATAGCATCAATGAAGTTGTTCAAGGGAGTTCTGCTTCCCATTGTAAGCTTGGGAAATAAGCTTAAGAGATTGTTTACCAGCTGCTTTGGATTTGGACAACCACACAGTGAATCCGGCATGGAGATGCTGCCACTTATCAGGCCATGCCGCAGCTCCATGGGGGCCTCCAAGTGTGGCCACAACAGCGCGAACATGGCTGTTAGGACCTTGGTGATTACTATATCCCAAGTTTTTATTGCAGATAGATTGTGAAAAAGGGACGATACCTGCTAAGACTTTGAAGTGCCAGAGCTTCTGCTTCAGCAACAGGCCCTGCTCCTTCTGCAGCAACCCCTGCAGTGAATGAACTTTGTTAATCACTGCAAATAGTAGAGAATCTGAGATTTAAACAGTAGAGGAAGGATTTAAAGAATGAAAAAGAAAGAAACTTTTGTTGTTCTTTTCAGGGGGGATAATCTTTGATGTTGGTCAAAAGGTATGCAAATGAATCAAAAAATTTATCTAAATCTGAAACTAAAAGATCAAGCTTTTGAAACTGTTACGACTTTAGCATGTGTTATGCTAACAGCAGGAGCTGCCTAACTTCAAAATCATGCTACCTACACCGCAAAGATGCAGAGGTCCTGCCCCAATCACAAGGATGGCCCACCCTTTGCGGGACTCACATGTCAACCAATCATAATAGGGACTCTTGAGGCATATGGATTAATGGTTTTAATCATTGGATCAATCCTTTCGTGACCTTAGGATTACAATCCGTGTGCTCCATCTAATAGGATACTTTATCTTTTTTGGTAATTACCTTTAATTTATTTCTATTGTAAGACTATTAGAGGAGTCTATATATTGTTGACTGTCACACATTTGCCAAATCAGTAGGAGCGAAGGTGACGAAAATGACGATCGACGGGCGCGATTATCGACAAGCACGGCGCTTTACTAAACTATCCAAACGACCTCCGATCACCAAACATATGACGTTGATGCAATCAAAATGTTGAATTTAGCCAAGGACCACTCACTGTTGAATTGAACAAAGGTGGTTGAAATCAACAAATTACATGCGCGATGATGTCCAACGTTGCCTGAATGATGTCCGTTCGCAAAACAGGCTTCACCGTTGCGCCCGAAAAGTCGAAAATACCTAAGAATGACAACTATATTGTATGGGTCATTTGAGCGAGCAAAAATATGAATCTTGCACAAATTTCGGGCAATGACGTCGATGATGAATCCAGAATATATATTTAATGATAGGAGGAGAGAGTTTGTGACGTCCATTATGAAGAGAGTAGATGAAACAAAAACAACCACAAGCTCGAGGAGTCGAGGGGGAAAAAGATGTGTTAATAAAGAAGGTCAAAATGGAACAGCCCCACCCATGGAAGTGAGAGATACATCATTGATTAAGTGGGTTGTTAAAATGACATTTTCCCAAAAATGTTACAGAACATTGACGCAGAATATCAAGGTGCGAGAAACATCAAGAAGATGTTGGAGCTGATGTTTAGTAACATCATTCTTTTGAATATTTAAGGACACGATGATTAATGTATAATACTTTTTTTTTCACATAGAATAATTGAAATATAAATTACATATATTTTGGGGCATCATCAAAACAAAGGATTTTAAGAGAAGTGGAAAATTGAACCTTTATTTTTTGATAAAATTGCTCAAATGCAACGAAGGCTTGGATTGACATTTTAATAAATACACCCAAAAAACCTAAGTGTTGTCATTAATAAAAAAAATTAATTACAAAATCCCACTTGGACCTTGGAATGTATCAAGAATGGGTGAAACCTTGAATATGGTGAAAATTATGACTAAAACTAAATGCCACAAGGAAAAAATAGTAGAGGAGAGGGTAGTGGATGAAACATCAAAAAGATAGTAAATGCTTCCAACTTCAACATCACCCCTAATTTTACTCTTTGTTTTAATATCCAAAAAAATAGTGGGAGGGATGATAAAAAGTCATTGATTAGTTATGAGATTTTGTAAGATAATTTAACAATAAAAGGTAAATTGGGAAGACAAAATATTGACTAGTTTTGATGAGAGACAAATAAAATCTTTCCTAATGATAGGAGAGGGAGATCCATATATAATGATGATCAAAGATAAAATGAATTGTGTTTTATGTGTCATATGTGAAGAGGCACCATAATCTAAGACCCAAGATATACTAGAGTCAGGGCAACTGTAATCGAGAGGAAACCTCATGAGAAGAGAGGTAGTCAAATAGAATCATAGCGGTCACATGTTAAGACAATATTCAAGAGTAAACCTTATGTGGTATATGATCATATTCTTCTTGGTAAAGAAAATATTCCAGAATGAGGACTAGTAAAACCAAGGATCATAGCGGTCACATGTTAAGACAATAAAGGAAAACCCATATAATTAAGTTCTTTTATGAGATTCAAAAGAGAAATGAAAAGGCAAAGACTATAAGAGATGGTTGATATTTATTGAGTTTGATAATGTAACTAATATTGGAGAATTTTATTTTATAGAAAGAAGTACAGAAAACTCTCAATGAACACCACAAAAAAAAGGAGACAACTATGAGTTAATTAGTCATATAAATCGAGAGGTCACGCTTAAACAAAGTTGCAGAGTAATCATAGGATGAGATTATTTAGTAGATACATATGCAAGTGAGAGCATGCTAGCGGAAACACACACAAGGACCAAGTGAGTCAGAAGGCTGCGATGAGTGTGAGAGACAGAGGCATAACAATATTTCATACAATAGGTGCACGAGAGCTATTAGATTAGGATGGAGGCGAGCATGTGCATTAGGCCAGTGCAAGGCATCGAACCCATGTAGGTAGGCGGTTATAATATGTGGGAGGAGCATGAGAAAATGACGAGGGAATGAGAGTAATGGTGGGGGGAAGGGTGATAAATGATTAATGGCTAAATACTAGTCAGCCTTTGATACCATATTATGACAATTAAAAACTACTTAAATTTATTTCACTATAATTCATGTGCCTATATATAATAAATACAAGAGATAAAATAGGCAAGGAAAAAAGAGGAGAATACCCTAAAATACAAGTATATATCACTTATATTACAAAAATAAAACTAAAATATGAAATAATTAATAAGTTTTAATATAGTGAAATCTCGATGAATACACAAAGAAACTACTAATATAACATCAACTAAAGTATTAAAACTCGTACTGGCGACTTGTATCATGATTCGCTTTTTAACCATGTCACCGTAGAATATCCCTTTCCTTTAGAATGCTTTGTCATTAACTCAATCTAGCTATCTAATCGATTTGTCTTCTTCCCTACATGATATATGGCCAAACCATCTAATGTATTCATCACTGTCTAATCTAAAATAGGTGCTAATCTCATTATTATCTTATATTACCATTTTCACCATATTTTTCCTAGTTTATAACAATGCACTATATGAAATTCAAATGTCCAAAAAACCTATTTAAGTAGTATCAAATACATAGACAAGTAAGAATCCACTATTTCTTTCAAATTTTTTATTATGAGCTATGGATGTGTAAGCTCTTATTCATTCTTTTCATTATGTCAAGTGTATTACCCTTGCTTCAATTAATTACGTGGAACAACTAAAATGGTGGTTATTTGTTCCCCCTAAGACTCTTTTTTGGTCAGGAAATTCTACTAAACCTATTTTACTTTCATTTATCATTTAGAAATTAAAACTTTGTGCATTAACCTTTGTTTCTCAATTCAATAAATCAAATATTCATAAATCATAACACACCAGCTTACATGATTCATGAACCAATCCATTTGTTCCCTTTGACCAATATAGCATTTTCATATATTAAACTCCAGTAGTCGCTCAAGATAAACCAAGAATCTAGTGTTGTTTTAAGCTCAAAACATTGATGAAGCGACAAAATAAAGTCAAAGTTATCTTTTAGTTTCTTTATGCATAGCTTTGATTCAATTTATCGTAATATCAGGTGCTACTCTTTTAGAAACTGAAGATTTAACCTACAAGTTGGAATATGAGTGGGCCGTATTAAAAAAAATCCCCAGGATAACAAGTAATCCAGACTCCTAATAATGCATTTCAAGATTAGTGCAAAGTACTTCCTAAATAGTTGACATGAAGCGTCCCATGTTTAGGGCAACTAGGGAGAAAATTTCCTTTTTAGAGTCAAATATTCTGAATTGGATCTTGAAAGAAATGAGTAATTGTCCTAGACAGAAGAAGAGGCAAGAGGTTATTAGGCATGGTCAAGAATGAACAAAGCTCTGCATATCACTTCTTAAATGAGGGCAATATGAAAAAAGAGAGTACACTGGCACACTTACAGGAATCAACTGATTGCCCGGCACATTTTTCCAATACTTCACTAGTAAATAGTGGGGTATATCTGTAAAATTGTGTTTATTAGAAATATATTGAAAAAGAGGAAAAAGTTTCAAGCAAGTTGTCTGAGTGGAAATTAAATAATAAACTGAATTTTTATAACATTGCAAATCATCATACAAGCTAAGATAGTGCAGGAAGAACAAAACATTCTGATTATTCATCATTTCCTTAGCCACTAGCACACATCAACATGCATTTTGGCAATGTAATTTTAAGTCAATTTCAATGCAATGTTAGTAAGAACGATTCTATCAAAGTTACAGGGGATAATCCAGAATTAAAATGATTAATCTTTAGCTAAAAGATAAATTATTGCACCATTGCTACCACGTTAGACAACAGTGGTTAGGTTTCCATTTGAGCTTGTGAACGATTCTATTAAAGATGTGTATATGAATTCAATCCGACTGTGAACTAGCTTAATCTGAGCCATACTTGCCTTGTTGGTCGGCTCGTTGACTTCCATTTGAGCTCAATCCAAGCCAAATATTGATTTTCTAGAGATCTTTGAGTCATTCACAACTCTACAGATGTGATACACATAAATCATATCCATCATAGTAGCCAACTAAAGAAAGCTAGCTCCATTGGGGCTTACATTCCAATAAAAGGTTGTGGCATCTACTAAATCATAAAATATACAATAAAAATATTAAGATCAATCTCAAAAAGGACAACAAATTCTGAGCATCCACATCAGTGCCATGAATCATCAGAGAAACCTGAATGTATAAGTTATCAATTTGCTATACCACATCCATGCCGCTTGTTCTTGAACTACCAAGTTCGTAGTGTTGCTATATGTGAGATCTACAGATTGACACGTGAGAATAGTTGGATGACATAATATGGTTACAACAACAATTGAAAATTTTCAAAAGCCCCATGGAGGAGGAAATATTTTTAGTTAAATAAGTTATCTTAAAGATATATCCTGAGGTTTACTAAACATGTCCTCAACCTTGCTCATGCATTTCCCATGATAACACTTATCACGAGCTTGCGAATCTAGTATTCTCATAAATATGTAAGCTTAGGATTCTCTGATCCCAAGTTATCCTTCACTAATACAAACTCATAAGAACTCAAGAGAATGAAGATAAATCTAAAAACTCTAATTACTTCTTAAGCGTATGATGATAGAATAGACTCTGCAGCCTTAGAAACCAACACTAGTACAAAATTTTAAGCCACAAGGATTTATTATATACACCATAATAAATATAAGGACTGGCTCATCTAAATATATCGCAAGCTTCACTTAAAAAAAAAAAAAAAAAAGGTTTAGAAACTTTCAGAGAGGTTCCATATACTAAATCAGTCCACATAAGAGGACGACTTATTTAAGAGACAAACCAATGTGACCACAGAGATAGACAACGATATGCCACAACAACCTTAATTTCAATCGAATGGCCATGGAAGCGCCACAGGTTCATCAATGTGTTTTAACCAAGACACTTCAATTCATACAACATTTGAAAAAAATATTTTCAAAAATATCATAGTAAACAAAGAAAATGAAATGTGAATATATGATATGCAATTTTCCACCAAAGATATTTAGATTGAGTACTTAATGTGATTCTCGCAATTGTACTCAGACATGTTGGCCTTCTTAAAATCACAACACCGATAGAATACTCCAAAGAGGGGCAAAGTAAATTTTAGATAAATATAGATAAAGAAGATAAAATCTCGTATGTATCACTTTCTAGTTTGTTGGGTGATTTCTTGCTTCTCTAACACTTGATGAAGGTTACAACTATTTATATTGGTACGACGTTGAGGAAGTTGACCTATTTAATCCTCAGAATATTTGGGAAAGATAGCATGAGTGGAAGTCCTCCATAGAATGTTTCCAAAATTTCAAGCATCAATGTGGGCTTTATTTTTGAAAATTTGCAGATGTCACAGTTAAAGGTTAAATAATAGTATCATTTTTTTGGTTATTCCAAATTATTAAAGTGCGATGAATTTACTAACTCTACATCGAGAAAATTTTAATTTTGTATCTCTTATATCAAAATTGGCATTACTTTTTAAAATATATAAATCAATTAGTTAGATGTCAAAGAATAGGATCATATTAGATAAATTGAAATCCTTAGGAGTGTTTTCCTTTCCAAATCTTTAACTCTTCATCAATTTCCAATGGATAAAAAGGCATCCTGACAAATAGATTAGTGTTGTAAGAAACAAAGAACATGATCAATGATTACATTAACAGTTTAGAATTTCACATTGTCAATATCCAAGTGTTAGAACAGTAGCATAATTGCATACCTAAGACCTACATACCGTGGACAAGATCAAATCATTCATCAAATGCATATCAGGAAAATTTTCAAAATGTCAAAACAAAACATCAAGAAGAAAATTACAAGGTAAAACTGCATACCCGATACCAACAGCAAGAACTTTAGCAACTTCTTGATTAATTTCTGTGGATTGTCCAATGACATAGATTGATGTTCCTTTAAGGAGCTGCGGAGCGGCCAATATAAGGGACTCCCAGGATTCCATGACATCAGGCCACTTCAGTTCTGCCTCACGCTTCTTTAGGTTAACTACCAGTTGATCCTCATCTATGTACCTGAGGAATTTTTCAGACTCTGGTAACAAAACTATTAGATGGAAAACTTTTTAATCTCAGTAAATACGAACCATATAGTTTCAGCTGGTTTTACCCTCTCAAACAAACAATCAGTTTGCATTAAGGTTCTAAGAGTACCGGATGCTTTAACCCTAATTAGCAGGGAACAATCGTCCACATCCACAAATATGTCACTGGAGCTTTCAACACCAAGGGCTGATATATGGAGCCTTAGCTCTACGTCCGTACCACCATCAAAAAACTGCGCTACATCAGGGTTTTATTTAGAACAATTAGAGGCATAGAACCGAACAAAATTTGACATCAAAATCAAGTATTTTGCTCAGGGAATCACCAAATTCACGAAAAGTTCTCATTTTGAACAGTTGCTTAAGTGGGGAAAGCAATAATTTTGAGCAGGAAATTTGAAAGATAGCTCTATATTGTCTATTTAACCTCATAATTTCTTGTTGCCGAGGGAGCAGCGGAGAGGTTTCTTCCGGAAACCGATGCGCATCTGTGCAAGATGGAGCTGCTTCGGCGGCAGACAAAAGTCCGTGATTGGAGCCTGCAGCTCTTGGGGAGAGGGTTTTCTGGTATTAAAATGCTTAGGGTTTTGCTTGGGTTTAGAAGAGAAATGTAGAAGGAAGACATGATAGCAACGGCCATTGCAGCAAGGAGTGAGAAGTCGGCAAAAGGGTTGAAAGAGTTTTTTTTTTCTCATTTTAATTACTTTTGAGCAAATTTAATGCTAAACTCGCATATATGTAAGATCTGAAATTAGGATCTGAAATTAGGATCTTGTTGTTGGTAGCATGATCTCCCAACGAACAAACAGATTAAAGACAACCACATGATAACATTACTGATTTGAAGAAATAGGTCCTCCCATAATTGTGTTGGCCATCCAAAGTTGTTTAAAAATGTAACCACCTACCCACCACCATTGTTTAGTCTGGTTGGTGGGCGAGTGAGTTTGGGAAACCCCCAGCCCGTGCACAATTCCTCTCGAACGACAGCGACTCTTAAGTAGGGCTCAATCAAGTTCGGGTCGGAAGATTTTTTGGGTGGGCATCTCTTCTAGGTTAGCCAAGGATGTGTCCCCCCTTCCCAAAAAAAAAAGTAACCACCTCTCATTCAACCCAATTAGGAATACGTTAGATGAAATGAGAAATTTGACTTTATATCCCTCATAATATATATATACATATAGTAGTATATTTATATGAAGTAATCTAACTAAAAATTATTATTTATAAATAAACATTTTTAATATTTAAATAATGTTATGGTCATACGATTGAAGTAATTATATATTAATTTATATTAGTTATGAGGAACAGTATATAAAAATTGATGATATTTTAATTATAACATGAACTTAGAATCATATAGGTTAAAAAAGTAGGTTCAAATCAGGTTCGTGTAACTGTTAAAAGGGTTTGGCAAATATTTAAGAATAAAGATGATTTGAAGAAAAGTTACTTGTATATGTAATAACAAAATTTAATTTAAGGAGAAAATATTAAGGAATTATATTTGAAGCATCCATCAAACTTCCAAAAAATATTTATAGAGTCCGTGAGCTATGAAATTGGCACAATATGATATATTTAAGATTTAAAGACACTTAGGAATCTCCAACAAAAAATCTCATTTTTCACTCCAAAATACAGTGAAACCAAAAATTGCCATGATTCATCTCCAATGGAACGCCATTTTGCCCCGTAAACCGTCGTTCTCTTCATTCACGCCTTTTTCTCAAAGTTCGGTAGAGATAAAAGAATGGCGCAAATGAACAATGCAACGCCATATTGGCTTCACACTGTTCATACACGATCAAATGGCGTCAAAAATGGCGGTCGGTTGGAGCAAAGCAAGAACGGCAAATAAGTGTTTGCCGTTCCATTGGAGTTGCCCTTATACTCTATACATTAGACGTAAAGATCATTGACCTTATCAATCATTGCTTATGAGACATAAATAAGGAAAAAGCTTATTGAATATTATTTAAATTTAAAGCCAAAGCAAAGGCTTTAATATATAGTGATTCTTGTTATTTAAATGTTAGTTGATAATTTGAAAGTATGTAATGTGAAAGTCATTTGAATGTAAATATTGCCTTTGTAAAAAAATATATATTTGAGTGTAATTGATTTGAAAGTCTATGCGATTAATCTCCATAAAAGTTATTTGAAAGACATTGTAATGTATCTATTATCTTTGGTTTTTATGACAATAGTTCTACACTTTTCTTATGCATGAGGGCATTCAATTAGGAATGTGATAAATATTTAAAATTTTATTGAACCTCTTAAAGTTGCAATACTTATTAGTTTACTTGCCTCATAAAGGTTCATCTTTAAAATGACTATCGTGTAATCAAACCTTTTTATTAATCCCAAGGGGTTTTATCTTGCGTATATATAGTCTCTATTTTAATATATATTTATTCATCCTTTGAATCTTTCTAATATCATATCTTGCCTGGTATTTGTAATCTCCAATGTAAATATGAAATCTCAATTATTTGTTAATGTTATTTGTTATTTTGAATCTATATTTTCTCTAACTTTTATTCGATTGGATCATATTATAGTAATGTGTTTAATTTTGTAAGAATCTCTTTTATTTTGAAATTTATTATCTACATTCTTGTTATATGAGGTTCGAATATGGTTCAAATAAGATTTGAATTTGTTGTATGGATAAAATAGATATTTAAAATTTTTATTTTTTGTTATCAAATATGATATAGAGAATAATATATAATCTCAAAATACATAAATGATATTCTACAATATATATGTTTGTAGAGACATTTTCTTGATCTAATATGAGTAAGATATTATTTATTTTTATTTGGATATATGTCCCCCATAAAGTTAAGCTCTTATAGTTAATTATATAATAAGAGAAGTAATATCTGAGAATATTCTCGATTAAAATAATGAAAAATATTTTATGATTTCAAAGTTTAAAGAAGAATGTTTATTCTGAAATTTAAATATGTTTAGTTCAATTTTGGAATAGGCTTTTTCAAAGATCAAAGAATAAAATAAGTATACGGAGCATTGAATTATGAGAAGCTCGGAAGTACTATAAATTATCATATATATATTATTTTAAAGTTTTACTTTTGAATTTTTTATTTAAGTTATTCATTTTATTAAAAGTTTGGGGATTTCAATTTTTATCAACATAAAATTGAAAAAAGATATAAAATATGAGAACATATGAAATAACAAATGAGATACTATCAACTTCAAATTCTAATTAAGGTGAAAACTACAATACAAGTAGTTTTAATGTACTAAAAATTTTAATTTTTTTTAATGTGGGCAATTGCTCCCCCTCAATTATTTTTAGTTCTTTATTAGGTTGCTTTTAATGTTTACTTGGGCATTACAATTTTTTTATCTAGGCTAAACCTTCATTAATAAATAAATAAAAAAAAAAAAAACTAAGCGTTTTCTCCATTCAAAACTGACAATGGCTCGAAGTCTCACCTTATCTAATCACATCCGGATCTCGAAACTTGGAACAAATCTTTAGCCCCATTACCGAAGCCCTCAGCTTGACTTGTTGACCATTATATTTGACTTTTTTTTTCTAAATTCTCCTTTATATCCCTGTTGCCTACCCTATGCCTCCAACTATACCAAAGCCGGCCATAGCGTCCTTAATTCTAGAAATTATTTGGGCTGTATTATTCGGAGGCGAATCAAAGCGCGCTATGTCACATAGTACACAATGGGTACAGAGCCGCGATACACAGCAAAGAGGTGATGTAGTGCGTTTTGATTCGCCTCAAAACTGCGTCCAACATTCGCATAGAATAATTTTTCCGTTTAATCTAAGCTCTAATCTTAATCTGCCGGTTGGAAGCTTTCAATTTCATATTCTTAAATTAATGTGTATGATTTTAGTTTAATTGACCTAAATGTTTCAAAAAAAAATATGATCAAATGGAAGTGGAAGATAAGTTGCTTCAAATAATTGATTGATAAAAATTTTTAAAGATTTTTTTGGATGAAGATTTTTATTGTTTAAAGTTATAACTTTTTTTATATTATTGTTGTTTGGGACAGTTGTAATTGCCTGAAATAATTATTATATATTATTATTACAAATATTTAAATAATAGCTATCATGCTCATATTTAGCTATAAGAAAGTATTTCTCATCATTTTTCAAAATAAAAAGGTCTAATTAAGTAAGATTATAGTTGCAGTAAGAAAATTATAATTGTGAAAAAATTATCTCAACAAATTCTAAATTAACTATTCAACACTAACTTCATAAATAATAATAATTTAAAAAAATATTATCAAAATTTTGAGATTGGATTCTTTTTGCTGTAACACTCAATCAAAAAAAAAAAAAACTTCAACCTCATCTATGTGCGGGTCCACTTGTTGAGGACATGAATGACCTGAGGAAGACTGACAATGGGGGTGCCTACCCTTTGTCTTCATCGGTAGCATCATCACTCATCAATGGTTTATAGTGAGAGAAAAGATGATATTTAGAGAGAGAAAGAAGTGGTTGAGAGACAAGGTCCATATTGAATGATACAGACAGATCATACACTCCCCATCATGGAGTAATCATTCTGAAATAATTTGAACTCCCTTCTCTGCATGGTGCTCTACAGGACTCTCTCTCTCTCTCTCTTCTGTTCATGTTTTGGCATTGACTACATTTATAAATCAGCTGCTGTCAGGGAAAGAAAAAAAGTTTTTTTTGGGAGGTGAGGAGAGAGAGAGAGAGAGAGAGGGAGGAAGAAAAAAATGCAGCTGCAGGGCGCAGAGCTGAGGGTTCATCCTTGCATTAATGAAAGATTTAATGGTAAGAGGAAAATGTCAAAGGAGCCGGGCTTTTTACTTGCTTTCCCTAAGCAGTTGATTCACCAGCATAAGCCTGTGTAAAAGCTGAAATGTATGAATACGACACAGATATTATATATATACACTCCATCCTCCTCTCTCTCTCTCTCTCTCTCTCTCTCTCTCTCTCTCTCAAATCGTAGAAGTCTTCTAATCTTTTATTTTGTTATAGTAGTAATAAAAATTTGGATAAAAAATTAAATAAAATTAAGAGAATAAATACAATAAAGCTTGCATACACAATACAAAATGTTTTATATATGTTAGTGATATTCATAGTAATATATAGATTGAATAATTCAGTAAACTTCAAATAGGTTATATAAAGATGTTAAGATTTCATATCAATTTAGATTCCTCTCTATAGAGTTGAAAAAGAATATATTATTGATGATATAGTCGCTATTTTCTCATCTATATATATTGTAGGAGTCCAAATTAATGAGAGCTTATACTCTTACTAGAATATATAAAAATTAATAGCGAAAACTCTCTCTTAAAAAAGCCAATGAACACTAATAAAAGCACCCAAAAACTCTATTTCTTTTTTGAATGACAACCCCATCTCCTCCTCTCTGCATTCCTCTTAGTTCGTTGTTTACTTCTTTGGTGGAATGCCAAATCCTTCTTCTAAAGCTCTTTTTATGGTAACAACAAAGCATGATTTTGAAGATATATAGTTAGTTACAAAATTTGGTTTTATTTTTCTTTTGTTATCTGTAGCTCTTTCGAGCAGTAGTGAGCTGAAGGATCCTTCTAAGGACCTTGTAACCGATTTTTGAATTTTAACACGTAGGCCCTTTCTGTGGGTTTTAACCAAAAAAAAAAAACA